ACCGCCCGCCCCCGCCGCCCGCCTTCAAGACAACATGCCCGTACACGCCTTCTCCAGGGCTGAGGCACAGTCAGCGCCACGCAACCCTGCCGTGTAACTTCAGAGAAATGAAAAAGAGACTTACATCACCGATTCAACAGCTACAGAAATGGACTAGGGGTGAATTAGGGACTTGGGCTCTCACTCTGACTCGGCCACTATATAGCTTAGTAACAACTTAGAGACATCTTCCTAAATGTTCTTTATCTCTAAAATGAGAAGGTAAGACCCTCAAAGGTCTTTAAGTTTTATGAACTGGTTCCGTCAATCTATCTCAGAAAATAAATACTCCCAAAATGAAACTATTTTCTTAGAGGGTGAAAAACAACGCCACAGCACCTCTGGGCTTGACCCTTTCCTTTGCAGGCAACTGAAGCCACCTAGTGGTCATGGAACCAACTCCCAGCTCTGACAAGCGCCTTCAAGAGGGCAAGCCCTCTGCCCCGAGTGGTCACTGTAGTGTGCTCCACGTTCCAAACGGCCCCACTGAGGTCTAGGAACCTGATGAATCCTCGGGAAACTCTAGGACACTGAAGGGCAGATCTCTGGCTGGCTTCTCAGGGAATGTGGGGATCATCAGTCCTTTGAATCCAGAGGGTTTTTCCATTTTCATTTTCACCCTTGAGTGGTCAGTAATATAGGAAACCTAGCATGGCCTAACACAAGTAGCCCTCGCTGTGCAAATTTATTTGCTCTTTGAGTTGGATGGCTTATTTTTTAATCATTTTTGTCCCACTGTTTTAGATAGCAAACAGTAGCCATTTAGACACAAGGGATTTATCTAAAAATTTATCTGAACCTACTAAGTTTCTGAGTCCAGGTAGGAAGAGATGGAATAGTAATACATAAATGTGCTTCTTCAAACTCTCAAAAAAAATTCTTTACTGGTGCTAGAGGCGTCCAAAAGGAGAAGGGGGGAGCCAGTCTCCCCTCACTGAAAGGACTCACCAGATGTCACCAGAATGTCTTGACAGGAAATTACAAAACTTAAGCAAGTTGCTTTTTCCTTATCAGTGGCATCAGAGCCACTGCATATAATTTAAATCAAATAACAGAAATTTAGACTATAGATGATCTCATGTAATGTCATCTCTTGGTATTTTGTGCAAAGGACAAATTTATATATATACCTAAAGTTAAGACCAACTGAAGTATGAAGAAGAAAAGAAAAACATAATTAAGATTTTTAAAAGTCTTTATACTTAAAGAACATTTTATTTAACAACATTGTCCATAGGAATTAAAGTGGTAGGTTCTATGAACGACAGAATTTTACACTGGAAGAGGCCACTGAGTAAATCAGGTATTGTGCACCATACTACTTATATCTTTAAAGTAGAGTTCACGCTGCCAAAATTAAGGTTTCTAGATTACTTCTGATCCTGGAAGTACACCAGCTAACCCAAGACACCAGTATTTTATGAGGAATCAAGGTCAAAGATGTCATATGCATAGGACACATAATAATTCTGTGATTTTTAGCAATGGGGCATGACATTGAACAATAGAGTTCATTCAGGAATCTGAAAGTAATTATTTTATCACTCAGTAAACAGATCCAGGCCCTAATAACCCATTCAAACAAAATTCCAGATGGATTTTAAAAGTTAAATTTAAAAATATGAAACTGCAAAAATATTTATCTGCCCTTGGGATGGAAAGAACTTTTGCTGCAAGAGAGCTATAGAGGAAACTACAAAAGGGAAGATCTCTGAATCAAACCACACAAAAAATTTAAGCTTGTTCTATGCTTTAAAAAAACAACAAGATGGTAAAAAGAACAAAGGACAAACTGGGAAAACATTGGCAACCATCATAAAATACATAAGTCAAGTTAAACCATATGAAGTTGAGAATATTCAACTGTTTTTGACCTATAAAACCAGTTTTACGTGTTTCAGCTAATATGTAAAGAACTCTTGCCAATCAATGAAAATAAGATTATATCCGAAAATAAAAAGGTCAAAAGAAATGTACGATTCACATATAAAAATAATAATCAATAAACAGATTTTTTTAATTCCAAAATCAATAAAATGTGTATTTTTTAAAATACTATATTTGATCATTTAATACCTCAAACTAGCAAAAATTATATTTAAAACTCAGTCCTGCTGTTAGAGAAGGTACATGGAGATGAAAATTTGTTAAAAATCCTTTAAGAGAAAATTTTAGAAATATATAACAAAAGCCTTAAAAATGTTCATTGCCTTTTATACAGTACTCTACTTTCACAGTTATTAAGAAAATTTAAAAATAACTAAGTGATAAGAAAAAGGAAATATTTTTAATTATGTTACAGCTATAATAGAGTGTTTAGAAGCCATTAAAAATCATATCTTACAAAATATCTGCAATCAGAAAAAATAGCAAAAAAAAGGAAATATTAAGTAGAAAGGCAAGATATAGTCTGCATATACATTTTATCCTAACTTTATAAAATACGTGTATATAAAACACAGACCAGGAAAAAAAATTCTCTAAAGGCTAATAGAATGGTGACTATCTCTGGTTAATGAGATTATGAGCTATTTTTATCATGTCTTATAATTACAAAATAAGATTTAAAAGAAAACTGTTTATTTTCTTTTTATAAGAAAAAAAATGTTCCATGTTCCATCCCCAGACACTAAACTTGAATCATCAACTTAGAATTAAATAATCTGTGGAATCGGAACTTTTATCTACTTCTCTATTTCTGACAAGGCTGATCTATAAAATGCACAACCTGAAAGTATTTGACATACAGCTCACGAGAGAGAAAAAACGAGCAGTCTCTTTTATTTGCTAATTCAATAAAACAAATGAGCAATAGTTTTAAAAACAAATGAAAAGAAATGCACTCAATCAAATGATCTCTTGTTCAGCGCATTTTATGCAAAATAGGAATACTTTGAGTTATCAGACTGCTTCTTGTTATTATTTATCCACATCGAAAAGTCTTGAAAACTTAAGCATTATTCATCGCGCCCAGTTTTTGCTCTGCCTCGGTAGAAGCGCAGATGGAAAGGCACCTTCCCTTAGGCACCGGGCACACGGGAAGCAGGCTGGGCTTGTCACTGGAGTGCACTCCGATCCACTCCACCGCCACTCGACAGCAGGACAGAAGCCACAACAGAAGCTGCCCAACAGAGGCTACAGCGGCAAACAAAATATGGTCTTGCCCCATGAGAAACGGGCCTAGTTGTAAAGGAAAACTTTTTCTTTTTTAAATAGCAATTGCAATATAACAGGGCAGACGCTACTCGCACAGCAGGACGAGAGGGCAGTAACTGCACAGAACAGAACAAGGCAGCATTGGGCAGACTACGCAGGAGCTGGGCCCTGCCCTACAGGCAGATCCTCCAAGAAAGACAGACGGGAAGGCTGAAGGAAGAGGGCTCTGGCCTCAGTGAACTCATTCAGCCTCGCGACTTAAATGCATTTTTTGGGAAGGGTTCCCGTGTTCACAACTCCAGACAGACCCCCTCCCCGAGCCCAGCCGTGTCCTTCCAGCAGCCCTCTCCATCTCCCCACCTGACGGCCAACACAGGTCTGCAGCTGAACACAGCCAAATGAGCTCCTGATCTGGGCTCCC